CGCTATAAAAAAAGTATGAAGGACGTGGGTTGACTGTGAGGTTTTATGCAGAGCTTGTGGTGGTGGAATTATCACCGGAGAAGGTACTCTTCGCAACGTATGAGGCGTGGCTAGCCGTACACTCAGCTGTGTTAGCGATGTATTCCTCTCTCCTGTACGCCCGGCTGTCCGACTGCCAGAACAAGTATACTGGGCGTAGTTTGTATCCCGAGGTTTACCAGTTCCTAGACTTAGGTCTGCAGGATTTGAACAGGCTAGGCCAAGAGTTCCACAAGGTAGTCAAGATAATCCCGTCTGTAGCTATCGCCTCGGTGCTAGAGCAGACAGAGAGGACGCTCCACAACCCTTTCATTAAGACAATGAAGGCAGAATTAGCTGCACACCCCAGGTCGCGACTGATCCGTTATTTGTGGAAGCCTAGGAAAGGTGTGTTCGAGCAACAGCTGTTGCTCGAACTGTCCGGGCTCTGGAAGTCTTTTGGTTACCCCTACCTCAACATGGAGACATCAGCTAGAGCCTTCATCAGTGACATGCGGGAGAGTTCAGCTGTGAGTCCAGACGCTGCAGAAGAACTGCGGGACCAAGCCGTATACCGGTTTTGTAAAGAATACTATAGGATACACAAGTCTTGGCCCCCCGTGGCCCTACTGTCCCCGGTTAGGCCTGACATCTTAGAGAGTATCCAGGAAAACAGGTGGGTAGAAACCGGAGAGCACGGGTGGTCTGCTGCCGACTTTCATTTTGTACGAATCTGTAAGTGATTAGAGTTTAACAAGTTTGTCGACGTGTCTGATCTGCTCTCGGATAAGGCCATTTGCACAGGGCGTTTTCACACAGCGGATAATTTTAGTCAGCACGCATACGCGGTATATTACGGGGAGAGAATCCCACGGAGATCGCAAGAGGAGTCCCGGGTTATCCTCCACTACTTGTTCACGAACGCAACGACCGTAGATCAAGTGATCACATGGGTGGAGCAAGGAACGGTTCCTGAGAAACATAAAGTCATAGTTGTAGTGGCTAAGGAGAAAGAGCCTAAGACAAGTGCAGATTTTACGGGAAGATGACCGCAGAGATG